ATGCATCCCTAATTTTATATATATAACCATAAATATGTGTTATGATTTAAATGTGAAACCAATTCTTAAATCAAGGGACAACTACTGATTTTTAGTAAGAAGTTAATTCTTGTAGTTACTTATATGTTTTATAATTTTCTTAAAAATAAAGATGTGAGTGCACAAAATAACATTAGCAGAGTTTTCATACTCTTATATTTTCACAATCCGCTTATGAGTTACATATATATGCATTAACAAAACCCAAATTAAAGAGATAGTTAAGTCCTTAAATTTATTCATTTCACTTTCTTTTATATCAAACGTATGGAAAAAAAAAAAACAAACACAAGAACGTAACGGAATAAGAGATGTATATATTATACATACACAAAACGTATATAATTACGAAGAGAGTATAATTTGGATTGACTTACACATTTGAGTTGTGTTGATGACAAACAACTTACAAGAAGCTTGAAAAGTTAGTATGTGAAACCCAGAGATATTCTTAATATTTATAAAGGAGTGTGGAGAAAATATGGCACAGAGATGATCAATGAAGTTGAAAAATTGTTATGAAATGTTGGCTCGAGAATATAGATATATAGAGGGACAAGCCGTGAGAAAAAAGGAAGATCAAAAGCATGCTTTGCCATTAGGTATTTTATAATTATAATCTTTAATTCAAGGGAGGCAGAAAAGACAATATGTTAAAGATGAAATCATTTTTCTTGAAATCATTAGATCAATCTAGTGGAGAAAAAATGTATTAAATTGTATCGATCTCAATTCGTTTATGATATTATGTTTCGAGATGGATAATTTACGTATAGATTTGATAAATATGTTAGTTGTATTATATATCAAAATTCAGTAGATACATGAGTCGAAAATTTCTAACTTTTGTTCAATCACATACAAAATTATTTGGATTTTCTAACCTAATTTATATGAATGATGACTCATGGCAGATATATCACAACTAAAAATTATAAAGCTATTGCATGTTAGCAAGCAAATAACAATCTCGATTTAGAAAAACGAATAGTTATAGTTCTGTAACAAAATCTACCACACAATTTATTTTTTTGAATGGATGC